TTTATAGTTCCTATGCCTGCGTTAGTTTTCAAGTATTTTTTCCTGTCAATGTTTTTAAATGATTCTTAATAATCGATGCAGCATTTTGACCTTTCCAATACCTTTACACGGTCTTCTGCAATATCGTTACTAGTTCTCCACATAACCTCCTCAGCCAGTACAAAGACGTGCTCAAAACCCAACTTCAAGTATTGTTCATATATTCGGGGTGCTGCATATCCTGTCCGTATTCGGACTCAGACTGATCGATGATTCCTCTTTAACGGGCACTCTCGGAACCGTTTCGCCCTTGGAGTGACACAAGAATTGTCAAACATCAATCTACGACATCCGTGTCAAATTATTAATTGGACTCTTGATGAGAAATCTGTTTTATGAATATCTACTCTTCTCTCGGGACCCTTTCGCACCGGCGGGCCGTCGTCGATATGGCTTTCTTCTACCGCTATGCCAACGGGCTTTGTTCCTCAGGGCTACCCTCTATGGTGTCCTGACATTGTGATGTAATTGCAAAAAACCGTGAGAATAACCCTATGTCTAGACGTAAGCTCAAAGTTCTTATGTGACAAATCTTCGAGCTCAAAAATCCATTTAGTATGATGAGTTTTGTGTTGTGACTAGCTTCTAGTTATAAAAATTGCATGTATTTCCATTTTGTTTGAGTTTGAACGGTCGTATTTCAAGATACCTCCCTCAAACTTTATATCGATGCGCCACTGTTTCAGGTAAAATCTTGACCGTAAAGGTGTTCAATAGAATCAAGTGATTGTAAAAGTGATTGTCACATCTTATGGCAGCTGTAAAATTTTCGCTTAACCATGGCTCTATGCCCATTATTAAGAGTTTGCAAACTTCTATGGGATTATGGTTTGTCGGTTTTCGTCGGCAAATTGGAGTATCTATGCACCGGTAATTTGTATGTCATGGTTCTTCGAATGGTTTAAGGATGAATAGTTACATGTTCAACATGTTAAGGGCTGTGTTAAATAGTTATATTTATATTTGTATGGTACTGGGCTGATAGAACTGCCTCTAAGAGACGATAACTAACAAAATAAATCATATGCCTGCCAAATTCTAAGTTTAGTAGAATGAAACAAAGGAATGTACTGACCATAAACCACCATAGGTCAAATAGTTTTTGAGATACATTCCTATAAACCTTACTTGAAAAGTTATAAAGTTCGCTATATAAATATTGAACTCCCTCCTACTTCATCTCAAGGATGTAATTTCTGGAATTCTATATTAGGGTATGCCATTTTGAATACAAAATTATAGATTAAACATTTGAAATATTCTACATTCTGCAGCTTTAAAGGTATTGAACCGTATTTCACCCCTTACGGGTTGCAAAAGCTTATATCAAAGAATCAAATTTGAAAAACCCATACTTGTATCCCTCTCTTAACTTTTACCCCTTATTTCAGCACCTTCGTTTTTTTTTCAACAAAAGAACCAATCTCTAATCTGTCAATAAGCTAAAGTTCATCAAAATCGGTTCAGCCATTTTGATGTGGAACCGAAACATTCAAAGATACATACAAATATACATATAATCATACATACAAACATGCATACAAACATACACACAAACATGCGTACTACAAACATACATATAAACATACATACAAACATACAAATACATACATACAAACATACATGAAAACATACATACACATATACATACGAATATGCATACAAACATACATGCAAAAATACATACAAACATACATGAAAACATACATACACATATACATACGAACATGCATACAAACATACATGCAAACACACATATAAACATACATACAAACATACAAATACATATATACATACAAACATACATGAAAACATACATACACATATACATACGAACAAGCATACAAACATACATACAAACATACATATAAACATACATACAAACATGAAAACATACATACACATATACGTACGAACATGCATACAAACATACATGCAAACATACATATAAACATACATACAAACATACAAATACATATATACATACAAACATACATGAAAACAGACATACACATATACATACGAACAAGCATACAAACATACTTACAAACACACATATAAACATACATACTAACATACTTACAGACACGAAAACATACATACACATATACGTACGAACATGCATAAACTTACATACAATCATACAAATACATACATACACACATACATACGAACATGCATACAAACATACAGGCAAACATACATACAAATACATATATACATACAAACATACATGAAAACATACATACACATATACATACGAACAAGCATACAAACATACATACAAACATACATATAAACATACATACAAACATACATATAAACATACATACAAACATGAAAACATACATACACATATATGTACATACGAACATGCATACAAATACACTTACAAACTTTTGCATTTATAGGCACCGATCTTAAACCTTTTAACGTGATTCTTAAAGAGCTTGAAGCTTCGTGAGGAAAACTAACTATTAATGAAACGTTATCCACTACAACCCCTACTATACATATTTTAGTAGATGTTTCCGCCTCTTGTTTCCGACATACATTTTCCGAGAACATTGTAAATTGTATTATAGGAAATTCATACAACTGTGTACATCCGACTATGAATTCTCAGTATTATTGCATGAAAAATTCAGAGTTTCTGTTAAGTTTCATCAATATTTCACTAGCGACTTCCTCAACTCTTAAGTTTTAATCTAGAAGCTCTGCCGTATTTCGAAATCAGTTTTCTCTGTTTGAATATTCTGTTTCCTTCCTACAATTTAGTCGAGGAAAGTATTGCGAATGCGAAAATACTGAGTTTGTCCTATTTTCGCTTGTATGTTTTCTGCTAGCTGTCTCCAACGACAAGACGTATACGGTACTGATGTTTGGTAAAAAGCAAGAAACAGTGTTGTATACGGTTGGTTTTCACAGAAAGCAAATACATCCTTATGTCACTTTTCGTTACCTTGAAAAGCAGTCCGCTAAACTGACCCATCCAAAAAACAGCTTGTTCCTCCGAGGGAAAATTTAGCTTCAAACATGTAAAACGGAAATTAAACTGATCAAGTCCGTCAAACAGGCCTATACGATTAGTTCATATACATCCTTTCCCTCCCCTATCGATTGTACCTCCCATTTGACAAGGTCGCACCCTCATACCTCGATGAAATTACTCGTCAGACTCGGCAGCGTGGCAGTGACCCAGAGAGAGATGCGTGTCGAAGACATTTCTCCATCATTTTAAGTTTTAAGGGGAAATCTATGATGTATGAGATACGTCTGTCTAATTACCCGGGTTGGAAGCGTATAAGTATACTACCCCCAAAAATATGAGATAGACAAACAGACAGACCGACCGAAATGAGTGACATGGTTTTTAGTGATGTAGGGGGGTTGAGAAGCACTGCATGCGAAAGAGTGGATGCTATCGAAAATAACACACAAGCCATCGCCGTCGTCTATTTAAAACAATACGGCATGCATATTCATAGCGCAAGTTTGCAAACAATCATCCACGCCGTTTTTTCCTGGCAATCTGATGGTGGAACGGAAAGCTCGTAGCTGCCGGTTGTATTAAAAGCGCTTCAGCGAATCGCTGTTATCAGATTTTTGTGCCGTTTGGGGATACGCCGTTCGTCCGTGACGTGCAGTCATTCAGCTAAAATGGACGCATATTAAAGTTCTGGGAAATGCACGTTGTTATATATTGCAGGCGTGTGCATCTCCCTCTGGAATTGTATAGGGTCATCAAAAAAACAACGGCCATTTTTCGAACAGAAGCAAATCAAAAATATCAAGGCATTTGTCATAATATATCACGAGTCGTTAGCAGCGAAGATCCAACTGCATTGATTTTTTTTGTAATCATACACTTTTATACGCTAAAAATTTTGCCCGAAACGAAAAAAGAAATCACAATGATCTTGAAGAACGATCTGCATGCACTCGCGAAGCCTCGGTAGCGTCTCGAAGACACTCACCGTAAATTAAAATAATATGAGCAACTCGGATATTGCTGTATGCGCCTAGATTGAGTACTGATGCGTATGGTACGTGTTCACGCTCGATCTGTTTGGTTCAGGTTTGAATGCGTAGCCTCATATCAGTAATCTTAAGACTGTTTTAATGTTACTGCTAATTTTTTCAAGATCTATACCCAGTGTAAAGGAAATTCCCAACTTTGAGGACTCGCAGAATATCAAACTGATTGCAGAGTATACCAGTTGATAACACATTTAGTTTCCTGGAAATCTCATTTGGAGTACCTGTTTCGGGTCGCTTGTTGTTTTTGATATATGTGTATGTTGAGGATCTACATAAGACTGTGAGTTTCTGTCAATTCCAGTCCTTCGCGGTCCACTATTTTGATACTGTCGATTTAGAAATGGTGCAGGCATCAATAAGCCATGATTATCAGTAGCTGCGTCTCTCGTACACATTATCTCGTCTGTGAGAGTTCTCTGCATAGTACATTTTTCTGCAAAATATATTTTTTATACAACTTTTGTTTTTTTTTGCATGGGTGGTTAAGTGTAGTTGTTGCTCGGTAATGGGGCATTCTAAGATTGCTCTAGAAATATTGCCACTGTTTCTTGAACCACCCCGTATACGATATTCAACCTATCGGCATGATACTAAATTATATGTTACTGTAAAGAATAAAAACTGAAACATTCATAAAAGCTTCCTTTTATATTGAATAGATATAAAATCTTGAACGGCGTGAAACTAGATATCTCAGCTGCTCGGTTTCGGTTCCGGGAAGTATTGAAGCCGGGTTTAAAATGCATTTCGTTTCCGCGAACTGATCGTTCAGCTTGAACGTGCCCCTTTGCTGTTACCTGTTCGATCATTCCACCTCAAGGCTGCAGCTTAGACGAGGGGGTGAGATTCTGAGTAAGAAAGCTGTAGCGCGCTGGATAGTCGGATATTGAAGCTGATCTCTCAGAGTCGTTTATTCAGCTTCAATTCCCGCTTGCTATTGCTTCATTTAATTCATTCACTTCAAGTACGAAGCTTAGGAGAAAGGCAGCAATAGCACGTTGGACGGTAGATACTGAAGCTGATTCAACAGGTCGCCTATTCAGCTTCACTGCCCCGCTTTGCTGTTGCCTGTTTGGTCCTTTCACTTCAACGCTAAGCTTAGCTGAGGAGGTATCACATTGTATGGTTAAATTGAAGCTGATTCGTCAAGGTCGTTAATCAGCTTCATTGCTCTGCCTTGCGGTTGCCTGTTCGATTCGTTGACTCCAAGGCTGAAGCTTAAGGGAAAGATAGCAAGCAGTAGTACCTTAGAAGGTAGATCTTAGTAGCTTATTTAGCTTCAATGCCCCGCTCTGCTGTTAGCTGCTCGATCTATTCACCTTAGCGTTGAAGCTAAGCGGAGGATGTAGCACGTTGGCAGATATTGAATCTTATTCATCAGGGTCGCCTATTCAGCTTCAACGCTCTGCTTTTGCCTGTTCGATCCATTCACTTCAAGTCTGAAGCTTAGCGGAGGGGGTAGTAATCAGCTTCATTGCTCTGCCTTGCTGTTGCCTGTTCGATTCGTCGACTCGAAGGCTGAAGCTTAGGGGAAAGATAGCAAGCAGTGGCACATTGGAAGGTAGATCTTGAAGCTGATTCATTCATCAAAGTCGCTTATTTAGCTTCAATGCCCCGCTTTGCTGTTAGCTGCTCGATCCATTCAATTCAGCGTTGAAGCTAAGCGGAGGAGGTAGCACGTTGGCAGATATTGAATCTAATTCATCAGGGTCGCCTATTCAGCATCAATGCTCTGCTTTTGCCTGTTTTATCCATTCACTTCAAGTCTGAAGCTTAGCGTAGGGGGTAGTATGTTGTATTATAGATATTGAAGCTGATTTCTCAGAGTCGCTTATTCAGCTTCAATACCCGCATGATACTGCTTCTTTTAATTGATTCACTTCAAGTCCGAAGCTTAGGAGAAAGGCGGCAATATCACGTTGGGTGGTAGATACTGAAGCTGATTCATCAGTTCGCCTATTCAGCCTCACTGCCCCGCTTTGCTGTTGCCTGTTGGGTCCTCTCTCTTCAACGTGGACGAGGTATCACTTTGTAGGACGTTAATCAGCTTCATTGCTCTGCCTTGCTGTTGCTTGTTCGATTCGTCGACTCGAAGGCTGAAGCTTAGGGGAAAGATAGCAAGCAGTGGCACATTGGAAGGTAGATCTTGAAGCTGATCCATCAAAGTCCCTTATTTAGCTTAAATGCTCCGCTTTGTTGTTAGCTGCTCGATCCATGCACTTTAGCGCTGAAGCTAAGAGGAGGATGCAGCACGTTGGTAGATACTGAATCTAATTCATCAGGGTCACCTATTCAGCTTCAACGCTCTACTTTTGCCTGTTCGATCCATTCACTTCAAGTCTGAAGCTTAGCGGAGGGGGTAGTAATCAGCTTCATTGCTCTGCCTTGCTGTTGCCTGTTCGATTCGTCGACTCGGGGAAAGATAGCAAGCAGTGGCACATTGGAAGGTAGATCTTGAAGCTGATCCATCAAAGTCGCTTATTTAGCTTCAATGCCACGCTTTGCTGTTAGCTGCTCGATCCATTCACCTCAGCGCTGAAGCTAAGCGGAGGATGTAGCACGTTGGCAGATATTGAATCTAATTCATCAGTGTCGCCTATTCAGCTTCAACGCTCTGCTGTTGCCTGTTCGATCCATTCACTTCAAGTCCCAAGCTTAGCGGAGGGGGTAGTATGTTGGATGGTAGATATTGAAGCTGATTTATCATAATCGCTCATTCAGCCTCAATGCCCCAAGGCTCAAGCTAAGCGGAGGAGATAGTGCGTTGGATGCTAGATATTGAAGTTAATTCATCAGGACGCTTATTCAGCTTCAATACCTTGCTTTGCTGTTGCCTGTTCGATTCATTTGCTCCAAGGCTGAAGCTAAGCGGGAGGTAGCATGTTGGATGGTGGATATTGAAGCTGATTCATCAGGGTCGCCTATTCAGCTTTAATGCCCTATTTTGCTGTTGCCTGTTCGATTCATTCTCTCCAAGGCTGAAGCTAAGCGGAGGAGTTAGCATGTTGGATGGTGGATATTGAAGCTGATTAGGGTCGCCTATTCAGCTTTAATGCCCTAATTTGCTGTTGCCTGTTCGATTCATTCTCTCCAAGGCTGAAGCTGAGCGGAGGGAGTAGTATGTTAGATGGTAGATATTGAAGCTGATTTATCATAATCGCTCATTCAGCCTCAATGCCCCAAGGCACAAGCTAAGCAGAGGAGGTAGTGCGTTGGATGCTAGATATTGAAGCTAATGCATCAGGGACGCTTATTCAGCTTCAATACCTTGCTTTACTGTAGCCTGTTCGATTCATTCGCTCCAAGGCTAAAACTAAGCGGGAGGTAGCATGTTGGATGGTGGACATTGAAGCTGATTCATCAGGGTCGCGTATTCAGCTTCTGTGACCCGCTTTGCTGTTGCCTGTTCGATTAATTCTCTCCAAGGCTGAAGCTAAGCGGATGAGTTAGCATGTTGCATGGTGGATATTGAAGCTGATTCATCAGGGTCGCGTATTCAGCTTCTATGACCCGCTTTGCTGTTGCCTGTTCGATCCATTTACTTTAAGGCTGAAGCTAAGCAGAGAAGGTAGTACGTTGGATGGGAGATATCAGGGATGCTTATTCAGCTTCAATGTATTGCTTTGCTGTTGCCTATTCAACCCATTCACTCCAAGGCTGAAACTTAGTGAAGGATGTAGCTCGTTGGATGGTAGATATTGAAGCTGATTCGCTTTTTCAGCGTCAATACCACGCTTTGATGTTGCCTATTCAACCCATCCATTTCAAGGCTGAAGCTCAGTGGAAGGGTAGCGTGTTGGAAGGTAGATATTGAAGCTGATTCATCAAGGTAGCTTATTCAGCTTCAATATCCCCGCTTTATTATTGTCTGTTCGACTGCAATACGTTAGCTAGGGCGCACCTAATATACAGATTTTGACATGTTCCAACGCAACTCGGCTCGGGTTGTCCTGGTTCTAGGTATATAAAATTTTATTCTACATTGTTCAAGCAACATTCGAGGGCATGTGTTTGAAAGAATGAACTTTTCTGGGACACCCTACTGGCCATACATATCATTTGTATAATATGACCAATAAATAAATTGTACGGCCTAAAAACTTGCGTCAGAATTGTGAAAAACACTTTTTTTTTTTGTACGTGGTGGCTCTCTGTAATCTGGGGGCCCGTATTATTTATAGTAGCCCAGCTAGGCCACTAGTGTTGTCGACAAGTGCGTTGCTACTTTAATTCGTGGAAAGTGAAGGTACCGGAAGCCCTCATACTACAATAGCATCCTGGCTGTCCGAATCTGCAGTTAACGATCATACTGAATAATTAAAAGTTCGTGACACTAATCGTTAATTATAAATTGCTGCTGCGCGGTGTCGCGGGTTTAATGACACCCATTCTGTGCATTCAGCAGAATATGTGAATTCATATTTTATGAGAGAGGCGTTGACGCCTAGGTGCATTCATATCGAGAGCCATATGGTTGTTTAGCTGTCTTTGCAACATTCCGGTATACGCCAAAACTGTGCAGTGTGTATGTGATCTTTGAAACATGTCGCATTGTCCGTTCTACATTGAACTTACCTAACACCCAAGGATAAGGTATATCATCCGGATGAAATTTCCGGATGAGATGTTGCCCGAGAAAACATAATAATAATGTTAGTAATACTAATGATAATGATAAATGTTTTTTAGTGCCAAGATAAGCACAAAGAACTTAAACAAATTCTAGCTGTTTTTCTGGCAAGCGGCAGAATTCGGATCGTACTGCCGTATAGACAGATCCTTTCTTCCATTCGACCGAAAAAAGCATACAGTAGAACCCCGATTATGCGAAATAATGTCTACCCAATTATTTTCGGATAATCGAAATTTCGTATAAAACGGAAATAAATACTTACACTCATAATGCTTTTATTGAAAAAGTAAATGCGTGTGTTAAGTGAGTATATACCTATATGAAGTTACGTAAAATATAAACATGTAGGGTAATCATGATAGTTATTGGACACTTAAGATTTTTTTCAGACTCAAAACAATGGTAAAGGTTGAAAATTAACTTTATTAAAGTGTGCTTTGCGGTGAATGTAAATCTAACAATCCAGCTTATACCAGTCCGGATTCACTGTTAAACTTATTTTTTCTGGAATTCTCTTATAGGGGTGAATTATCATCGGCGGACAAGTGATTCCAGAAGCCGAAAATCAAAACATAACAGTAATATTCTCTTTAGGAGATCCCTTTTCGACAGTGTATATATTTTTCGCACCTTTTGCAGCATAAACTTTACCCGTATTCGGGCAAACTTGAAAGCCCGTTTCGTCGCAATTGTGGACTCCGGAAGGATCTTCCATGCCAATATTCTTTGAATCCAGGTACTTTTTTATATCGGTGAACCAGTTCCGTATGTCTTTTTCTGCCACACAAGTACTTGCCGCACTAGCTGGTTCACTTGTTTGTTGTTTAATAGATAGGTGTATTTTTAGAAATGCTTTGAACCAACACTCGCCTGGTCTATTGTTGTTGAATGGATTAGGGCGAGGATTTTCTATTAAAAATTTTTGGACGCTATGCATTATGTCATCCTTTTTTCTCGGAAATCCACGGGACGCAAGCTCTTTTAACCACTCAACAAGTTCATATTCTTCTTTTGTGGAAAGTACTGGAGATGGGCCGCTTGTATTTTTATGACTTGGATTTTTTATTTTGAATTCTAATGTGGATTTTGGAATCCCATATTTATTAGCTGCAGCCCTGTAAGACATGTTACTATTTTTAACTTCGTGTATTGCTAATTCCATCAGATTTGCATCATATGAATGCTTTTTTGGCATGTTTGGTAACCTTTGGATGACCTGGAAACCACAAGCTTAGTTATCGGACACGTACTTCGTTATTGGACAGGCGTCCAATTACTGGATGTACATCATATAAATCAATTTCAGTTGTATATTTGAATTCAGCAGAAAATTCTGGGAAAGTAGTGCAGTCAAACTGAAAATGTCATGCAAATTTCAATTATTGGAAAAATGTCCAACAACTGAAAAACTTAAAAAAATCATCGTAGTTATTGGACACCCTTCCAAAACATAACCTTACTTGTTATTTTTGAAGAAATACTCTAGAGATGCTCACCCTTGGACTAGCGGTATACTTTGTATATAAATTAAGTTTTCCTTAACAGTTGATAGCAGTTCAACCTTTTCACAACTTCATCACACACCTTTAACAAAACAACAAGCAAACTGCCTCAACAACACAAGTAGCAGGTACATGCGATTTGGCGCCAAAATGGATTACAGGATGCCTTGCATGTAAGATGAATCATGCTGCCATGGTCATAGTTTTGCCATCTAAGACCGAATAGCCGAACTGATACATACAGATTTCTTATTTTCCTTGAACAAAGGAAAAGTATCCGATAACTGCCGCATGTCCAATAACTAACTCGTTTACCCTATTTACGAGTACTTAGTAACAAAGGAAGTGATTTTTAAAAAATCACCTCTATCTAAACGTCTGATTTTCGTCAAGTTTCTGTTCTATGGTAATAACAACGCGTTTACGTTTATTTCTATGCTGCTCCATCCTAGCGATTATGAACCTGATTGAAACAAACATACACGCACACATACCAGTGAATTCCGCAAACGCGCTTTGGGAATCACCGGCAGCGAATCTAATGACGCAAACGCCGAAAGGGGAACTACCGGCGGCTATTTCGGATCATGCGCAGATTTCCCGGACAACTTCGGTTAAAACGCAGAAATTATTGTTTGCGACCGGTTTCGGATCAAGCGGATTTCGGATAATCGCGAGTCGGATAATCGCCGTAATACTCACAAGCAAAAGACTTGATCCCAAAAGAGTCGAGGAAAAAAGTAACGAAAAACATCATAAAAAAGGAGTTAAATTTTGTAGGTTTCATATTTTACAGTCATACATACAATAGAAAACGCTTCATTGATTTTTTTAAATAAATTCATAGACAGACTTCTGTATGCAATAGGTATACCTTATTATAGAGCCGTACGACATAGTAAGAAAGAACCTTTGGAAAACGCTGTACAGAATTTAGGATTATAAGTTTAATGTCTGTAACGCAGGCTAAGAGTGTGGACCACTGTTCTGTAACGAATTTTGTTGTACAGATAATAATTTTCATTTCCTCACGATTTTCGCTCTCGCTGTACAAATGAACGTATTCGAGGAAGCTGTCCGCGTTCCCTCAAGCCGCACGAAACTAAATAATGAAGTGATTTTTTTTATAGAAATCAACTATGACAAAGTTGTTCATGAACACGGTTCTACCCAAGCTGAGCCAACATGTATTTCATGAGAAATTCGTAGAATTAGTTGAAATCAACGTTGGATTTTAATTAAGCTTTGCTAAAAGCGCTATACAGGGTGTTTCAGTTTATTGTTGCATAACTTTAAGATTCGATAGAACTTTTAAAATTAATGCATATAGTCTATATAAACATGGGTCGAAAAATGCGTGGCTTCCGAAATACAGGGTGTTTAAATTTACTTTCTAAAATAGTTTTTTTTTAAATATGTCGAACAATATTTGATGTATAACAGTGAAAATTGGTATACAACGGTTTTTTGGTACGACAAAACGAACCATGGGCATAGTTTTACTGTAGCCGCTAGATGGCGGCTCTCTACTGTACCTGTAGTGTATTAAAATAACAGAAAAATTTTTCTTAGTGCAATTTTTTGCTTTTTGGATAAAAAACTGATTCTTCGCACTTTTCAACATAAAAAAGCTCTCCTGTGAGTTTTCGTTATAGTTAGCCGTTTTTGAGATATTTCGATTTTTAAGGTTCGATGCATTTTTAATTATTTATGGGAAAATAATATTTTTTTCACATTTTCGATTTGGGCATTACAAGTAATTAAGATGATCGTTTAGATTGTGTTTTTAAACACAATAATTCCTAACTTCAAATAAACACAAAAAATAGAATATTAATTTGTTTAATTTTCCAATATTATTTTTAACAAACTAAATTAATTATTTACAACTAAAATGCTATTGGATAGTTAGGACAAACATACAAAATCTAAAGTAGTCGCTCGAAATGTAAACCCAATTGTTCAATACACAATTCACATCTACGAATGATCGAACGTGGTATAGGATTATTCAAATAAGGCCTTATTTCATCATGCATTCCTGATTCTGTCTATTAGCATATCTCTTGTGGTTACGGGAGTCTGGTACACTTTTTCTTTTAGAAATTCCCACACAAAGAAATCTAATGGACTTAGGTCAGGTGATCGTGGAGGCCAGGCGACTGGTCCTCCACGGCGGATCCATCTTTCTGGATAATTTTTCTTCCAGCCAGTTTCTAACTATTCTCGTATAGTGAGCTGAACAACCATCAAGCTGGAACCAGGCCAATCTTCTTAAATCTAACATTATCCCAAATATTTGCATGTTCAGCCTTTAAAAATTCCAAGAAGGTCGCAGCATTTAACCTTGCAGGCAAAAGATAGGGTCCAAATAGTCGATTACGGTAGATACCAATCCACACGTTCACACTAAATTCATGCTGAACATTTCTTTCCCGAACTGCATGCGGATTTTCATGCGACCAAATATGTTGATTATGAAAATTTACCACTCCACGTCTAGTGAAGCATGGCCCATCGGTCCATAAAACGTTACTTAAAAACTCCCTATTATTATCAGTTCTATCAAGAATCCACTGACAAAATGTGATTCTTCATTCTCCGTCCCCTGGCTGTAGTGCTTGCACAGGTTGCAAATGGTAAGGACATCTATGGTCATTTCTAGGAACACGGTGAACATGGCTTGCTGAAATTCCCAAGGCACTAGAAACTCTCCTATCACTTGTGGTCGGATCTCTATCAAACTCACGCAGAATCATACGGGTAAATCTGCGCTAACGAACATTTTTGTTTTTATCCCTTTGGAGATTTCCAAAACCATTTTCAATTATTTGGCGATGCACTCTTACAAATACTGAGCGAGTTGGATGTCGTCGGTTTGGAAATCATCGTGCGTATTCTCTGGCTGCTTCTGCTGCGTTTCCATTTACAAAGCCATACACAAAATGATTATCCGCTAACTCTTGATTGGAGAATAAAAATGGCATTTTTATAAAACTTACAAAAAAAAAACAGGTAAAAGAAACTAAATTTCGTGCATTCACAATTGCAAAAAAACGTTTCAGGTTTCAACAGACAACAAAACTAACTGTCAACTAATTGACGTTTAACCTTCTTCTGCTTTCAATTTCAAAAATATTTGCAGGTACAGCCTACTTCTAAAAATTATCGAGATACTGACTTTTTATCGTTATTTTATCATAAATAATTAAAAATGAATCGAATCTTAAAAATCGAAATATCTCAAAAACGGCTAACTATAACGAAAATACACAAGAGAGCTTTTTTATGTTGAAAAGCGCGAAGAATCAGTTTTTTTATTCAAAAAGCAAAAAATTGCACTAAGAAAAAATTTTCGGTCATTTTAATACACTACAGGTACAGTAGAGAGCGCCTTCTAGCGGCTATAGTAAAACTATGCCCATGGTTCGTTTTGTCGTACCAAAAAACCCTTGTATACCAATTTTTACTGTTATACATCAAATATTGTTCGAAATATTTAAAAAAACCTATTTTAGAAAGTAAACTTAAACACCCCGGAATTCGGAAGCCACGCATTTTTCGACCCATGTTTATATAGACTTTATGCATTAATTTTAAATGTTCTATCGAATCTTAAAGTTATGCAACAATAAACTGAAACACCCTGTATACGAGGGGGTATCAAGAAAACGGAATTATTTTTTAAAAGCTATTTATTTTCAACTTTTTCACAAAGTAACCTTATCTCCTCCAAAATACTGTCCCCTCAGCTAATACACTTGTCCCACCGGTGCTTCCACTGCTCGAAACATGTTTTCTTTAGAAATGTCTGACAGCTCCTGCCTCGCTTTTTTCTTGACATCTTCAGTGTCTTCAAAGCGGCGCTGTTTCATGCCGTTGGAAATAAAAAAAGTCGCAGTCGTGAGGCAGCGGAACCATGCCAGTTTTCGCCAGAAACTATAGATCAGAGATGGCTGTGTGCGGAGGTGCATTATCGTGGTGGAACAACCCCAGTCTCCTGACTGCCACAAATCGCCGAACACTGCTTCCCAATCGTCTTAAAACCTCCCAAACAGCACGAGCTCTCGAATTTGTCATCAAACGACATGTCGCCCTTTTTAAATCGAGCAAACCGCTCGTACACCGGAGTTTTTCCTATATCATAATCTTTGTAAGCTATTTTCAACATTAAAACAGTTTCAGCAGCATTTTTACCAATTAGAAAGCAAAATTTCACAGCTGCACGTTGCTCACTGAAGCTTGTCATCGTTAAAAACGGAACAAGCTCAAAACAGCTCTAGCAACGGTACGCCTTTAGGGGCAGAAATGTGTACTACACGAGCTCCGCCCACTGCAATGCTATTCCGGTTATTTTTGGGTACCTCCTCGTATATGCACTAGAGATTTCAAATTGGGAAACCAATGCAATACAAAATCGTTTATGAAGGCAAATTTGCGCATTTAGAATTAATAAAATGGTCTGGCAATTGAGAGCATTTTTGGAAAGACAGAAACTACGAATTTTCCCTGAACCGTTTCAATTTTCTCCTGGTTTAAGATTTCAATCTGAATTGCACTTTTTACTAGCTTTGTACAAGTGACTGTTAGTATATTAGTTCGTTAGTGTCCATGTGTGGGACAAATCCTGAAACTGAGTTTTGAACCAGTTAACATTAACCAATCGAGCTGAAATTTTGTATGTCTGTCGTTC